AATTTAGTTAGTTGGTGAATAGTCTTTGTAGCAATGTGATGCACCCACAAATACCTCCGTGACCAAATCCTGGGAGCTTGCCAATGACCTACATGTAGCAGTGTGTTCTGTGATTCCCTACCTCGCCACCACGGAGGTAGCCCCTGTCCCAGGCCTTCCTTCCTGTACAGTTCTCTTTTATCTTGGAGTGTACGAGGGTCTATGTTGAATCTCAGTGGCTTTTTTTTTAAGTGTTATGAAAAGGTTCTAATGCTGTTGGAATCCTTTACACCGCGTCATCTGCGCTGCTCTCTGTGGCTGGAATTCCTGCGTTTGAAGAGTGCCATAAAATCCTGTTGGTGCAGCTGGCACTCTGCATCATCCTCTCTCACTGGTTGGTGTGTGGGTTGTTTTGTCCATGTCTTTTTTTGTGCTTTCCAGGTAATTATTATAGGGTAAGAATATGAGGACACTACTTTCACAGTTTCTGGTTTATTTTAAATAAAAAGTAGAAATCACACTGTTATATGAAAATAACTGGGGACCTGCTATGAAGTTTTAAGCCATTGGGCAAAAAGTTTAACAAGAAGCCTATAAATAGACCAGTCTTTCTGAGCCTCCCGTTTAAGATTTCTGGATTAGGTCATCCAGGTTTAGAATTTCTTACATTAATCTAGAAGTCAAATTAAGTCAGCTTAGAAAAGCCTCCTTTGTACTGAAGAGTGGCAAACAAGAAACTGCTGAGGCAGGAATTTGACTAGATGTTGGGGCTGAGGTAAGCAGTGAGGTAAACTGTATTTATTTAACATGATTTGTTGTAATACATGGAAATTACAGTGAAGTGTTCTCTTTACAACCAACATCTGCAAATAAGGGCAAAGAGATTACCTTCAGGGAGGTAAACTTTTCAAAATGCAGTCTTTTTAAAACTTTCAAATATTTAATGAAACATGTAGAGAAATGAAAAATTGAAAGAGGAAAAAAATGGCTCCCAGGAAGATTTGACTGGAATGTGATTGAATGAATTAATGTGTTTATAGAAGATGTGTGTCAGTCAGGATCAGAGAAGACGGGTAACCGTAGAGAAAACACTCCTGTTTTATAACAACTCGCCTTTTAATCCGGGCAGGAGACAGTTGCACTCATACCACTTCCTTATTCTGTTCCAGTCTTTGAGATCTGCTCTTCTCTGTGAGAGCAGGTTCTGCCAGGTCTGTCTGGGCCTGGAAGACTGAGCTACTCTCAGGACATGGTGGGCCCAGGTGATGACGTCACTCTACAAAGCTTCTTTGGAGATAGCCCCACCCTGTTCCAGTTGACATTCCCACCTGCACTCCATATGCCTGTGTCTGCACACTTCTGCATTCAACAAGTGCATACCTACTGTCAGGGGCGAAGTTAAAGTACTGAGGGTAAACTCTGAATGATCAGCCTTGATGTAGCCTCATGAGCCTTCTAAAACACAGCCTTGCATAGGGTCTGGGAAACCTCCCCTTCTCAGATAGCCATAGGGAAGTTTGTTTGTTGGTGTCTTTCTTTCTGGAGAGGGTCTGTAGATTAGAGAAGGTTCTGTTGACTGTAGTTTAAATCATTGCTTTGGGGAACACAGTTTGGCTTCTTGAGCCTGAGGGCTCTGTAGGGAAGGAGACAAAGGTTAAGCTGTTCGGGATGTAAAGGACCTGTGTGCAAGGGGAGGAGAAGAGAGGAGTGTGTGAGTAGAAGAGGGGTAAGTCTCATTGGTCCCTTTTACGTGGGAGGTAAATGTGGTTGGAGGGCAGAGTAGTAGGGACAGTTCCCTCAAGCGTATTTGGGGACATGAGAGGCACTCCGTTAGTGTGGGAAATAATTGTTACCTGATGATAATAATAGCTCCATGATACATTTTGCAATTTTAAACCCAATGTCTGTCAATAGCCCCTGTAATGAAATCCACTTTGAGACAGTACAATTCAACTCACTTCAATAAGCAATAATGGAGCAGTCCTTGTCCTTATTATTTTGTACTTTCTACAGAAAATTTAGCAATGTCTTACAGGTCATGGCCACTAAGTGGTATTACAGTCTCCACCAGACTGAGCAGAGCAGCTCCTAGAGTAACACTAAGAGGGGGAGTTTGCTTGGCCTTCCTGGGGTACCTCTGGTCAACTCAAGGTATTCCAGTGCTGTTACCAGTAGCACCCCATTCAGATAACAGAGATCTTACAGTAGCCCTGTAAGGTGAGTATTATCATTATACAATTTTATGGATGACAAACTGAGGAATGAAGAAATCAAATAACTTCCTGAAGCTCATATATCCAGAAAGTGGCTAATCTCTAAACTTAAAATGTCCTGGTGTAGAGACCATGCTTTTAACGAGGTACTCCACCACCTCTCCACATTAGCCAGTATCCCTGGTGTGAAGTGCATCTGCTACACTGTGGGATATAGTTGCGGAACTGAAACCATAAACTTCAGGGGGTGGTTTCTATTCTGTCCCAGGTTTTCTTTGGGAGAAGGAAGTTTGTCTTGATTATACATTCATTAGAGGTGAGACACTTATCTTGTTCATATCCATAGTGTCTTCCAGAGTCTTTTTTTTTTCAATATTTTTATTTAACTTTTATTTAATAAATATAAATTTCCAAAGTACAGTTTATGAATTACAATGGCTTCCCCCCAATAAGTTCTTTTTTAATTTAATAAATGTGAATTTACAAAGTACAACTTTTGTATTGTTGTGGCTCCCCCCCCCCCAACTTCCCTCCCTCCCACGGCCCTCCCCTCTCCCACTCCCTCTCCCATCCTGCCCTTCATCGACTTTCATTTTCAATCACCTTCATATACAGAAGATCAACTTAGTATACACTAAGCAAGGATTTCAACAGGCTGCACTCACACAACCGCACAAGGTTTAGGGTATTGTTCGACTAGTAGTGTTGTTTTTAAGTTTCATAGTAAAACACATTAAGGACAGAGATCCTACATGGGGAGCCTGTACTCAGTGACTCACATTGTTGATTTAACAATTGGCACTCTTATTTATGACGTCAGCAATCACCCGAGACTCTTGCTATGAGCTGTCTAGGCAATGGAAGCCCCTTGAGTTCACCAACTCTGAACTTGTTTAGTCAAGGCCATATCATAGTGGAGGTTCCTTCCTCCCTTCAGAGAAAGGCGCCTCCCTCCTTGATGGGCTATTCCTTCTGCTGGGGTCTTGTTCACCAGGATCTTTCATTTAGATTGCTTTTTGCCACCGTGTCATGGCTTCCCATGCCTGTGAGACTCTCATGGACCTTTTAGCCAGATCTGAATGTCCCAAGGGTTGATTCTGAGGCAGGAGTGCTGTTTTGAGCATTTGCCATTCTGAGTCTGCTGTGTGTCCTGCTTCCCCCACAGGATCATACTCTCCCTTTTAATTCTATCCTTCATTGTTTGCTTAAACTGGTCTTATTTGTGAAATCTCTTTGACACTTACCCTATCTTTTTGATCAGTTGTGTATTTATACTTATCACTTTACCAAGTGCACTGGCATTGGTACCTGCTTCCTTGGTAAGATTGAGCTGAAATCCCCTGGCACATTTCTAGTTCCACCATTGGAGGTAAGTCCGAGTGAGCATGTGCTGACCTATATATCTCCTCCCTCTCTTATTCCCACTCCTATGTTTAACAGAGATCACTTTTCTGTTAATTTTAAACACCTAAGAATGATTGTGCATTGATTACAGAGTTCAACCAGTGGTCTTATGTAGAACAAACAGAGCAACAACAACAACAACAGCAAAAATACTAAAAGGAATAAAATAGTAAGTTGTTCCTCAACAGTCTAGATAAGGGCTGATCATGTCATTGTCTCTCATAGTGTCCATTTCACTTCAATGGGTATCATTTTAGATGCTCGTTTAGTTGCCATCGATCAGAGAGAACATATGATATTTGTCCCTTTTGGACTGGTTTATTTCACTCAGCATGATGTTTTCCAGCTTCCTCCATTTTGTTGTGAATGCCTGGATTTCGTTGTTTTTTACTGCTGTATAGTGTTCCATAGAGTACATATCCCATAGTTTCTTTATCCAATCACCCGTTGATGGACATTTAGGTTGATTCTATGTCCTAGCTATTGTGAATTGAGCTGCAAAAAATATTGAGGTGCAAATGGCTCTTTTTTTCTCCCCTTTAATTCCATTTGGGTATATTCCAAGGAGTGGAATGGCTGGGTCCTGTGGTAGTGCTATATTCAGGTTTCTGAGGTCCAGAGTCTAACAACAACCCCTGATGGAATGTAGCAGGTACTTAGTAGCATGAGTTGAAGTAAACCAGTCTCCATGGGTTTTCCCTCTTGATGCAATTTTTTTTTTTTTTTTGTATCTAAACAGGGGAGGAGCGTGGGAACCCATAGCTCCACACCAAACTCCCAAAGGCAAGTTGGCTGCTAATGTCTTTGTGGTCAAATTCTTTCACCAAACCCTGATTCCAAAGTCTAGGACTAGTTCTAGCCCCTCCTGCTAATGAGACTGCTGCTTCTAACAAAGGGGATAATGTCATGATCATCATCTAGCCTTCTGTCTGCTGTCTTGTGATCGTGTCTGCTGTAGCTGTGAATCAAATGCTGGACTTAGTGGCTGACAGAACTTGGAGTGTGTGGCCTTGGACAAGCTTAGCCTTGTCTTAGCTCAGTCCCATCATTTATGGAGCTAGGGTAATATTATCTCATTTCAGGAATAATATAGGAATAGGGATGATTAGGAGACCAAGTCAGGTGATGCATCTGAACATTAGCACAGGGCTTGCCCCTAGGGTAGGTGGATACGCAAATTACATAAACTGTGTTTCCCAGTTAGATCACAACCTGCAAGGGATCATCCCTTACACTTCTTGCCCAAGAATCCTTCTCCAGTCTCTCCGTCAGTCACCCTGTCCTCTTGTCACTCTCATCAACTTCTTCATTTCCTGGACCCAGTTCCATCACTAAAGTAAGTTTTGCTCATTAATTGTTTATTATGCTTAACCAACATCTGGAGTCATTTTGATTCTGTCCCAGGAAGTATTTGGCTACCGGACTCAAGGCTGCCGACAAGCCCTCTGTCTTGCTGGATCCGTCTTCTCATTTGGAATTCTCCCCTTGGTGTTTTACTGGAGACCGGCTTGGCACGTGTGGGCAAACTGTGTCCCATGTTCCTTGCAAGAAGCAGACGTCGTGTTGCTGAGGACAACAGTAAGTGCATACCTGGTTTTGTAGCCAGTGGCCTTTTCTCTGGGACACTGTGTTGTGGGGTGGATGGAGGAGATGTGCCCAAGGCAGGTGGTAAGCAGAGGCTTCAATCTTAGCTTCCTACACGGCTTTGCACCTATCAAGAATTCCATACTAGGGGTACAGTGGGATTTGATTGAGAAATCTTATTTGAAAGGGTATTCCTTTTAAAATTGTAAGTTTTGTGAATATCAGAGAACAACCAAATTGTAGCTAAAAATAATAAACAGTATGAAATTATTCTATAGGCTACACAACATTCATACTCACTCTTCCCCCCAGATTCTGACACATCTACATTTATCTCCCCCAACCCAAACTGAAGTGACCCTAGGTGGGGGAGGAGAGGTGGAGATGGGGAGTATTTCTCTGAGGGGAATGGTGTTTTGCCCTTCTGACCTGAAAGAGACACAGTTATTGATGTGACTGTGTTGCATTCTGCAGCTATTCCAGGGTAACAATGCATCCATCTTTCCCTAAGATCATGATTGCTGTCTAGGAATTCAAGGCCTTGGCATTGTGAGTGTGTATTTGTTCCAATACTGCTTCTTCCTGACGCTCATGACACTTTGTGTGCATTGTTCCTTCATAGCTGTTAGTTCTGCCAGGAAAGTAACCTTCTACCTTGCTAACTGCTGCTTGCCTAGTTCCTGTGTGTAGTGGGGATCCCATTAGTATCATGCAGTGGATGGATTGAAATGGGCATTCCTGTTCAAGAGAATGAATGGACAGTGTCATGGAGACACCTTTTGACTGACAGTTACTAAGTGCTCTTGTCAAGGAATGACAAGAAAGTACTTACTTTTATTTTTATTCATTTTACTTATTTGTGTGTGGCAGGGACCCTACTACTTAAGTCATCAACTGCTGTCTCCCAAGGTGCACGTTAGCAGGAATCTGGAATTGGAAGCAGAGCTGGGACTTGAATCCAGGCACTGCAACGTGGGATGTGGGTGTCCTAAGTGGTGTCTTAACCATTGCACAAAAAGCTTGCCCAACAATATTCTTGATAAATCAACATCTATTGGGAGTTCAGCTTCTTTTATATGTAATAATCCCTGGAGATAAATATTCTATTTGATGCAATAAGAGGGGAGGCTAGCAACAAACCTTATTACTGTCTACACACAAATAAAGCAAACTGCATTTCAATCTGAAATCTAACAGAGCTGGGGCTCAGCATCAGTGAAACAGAAATTGGATGAGGTTTTCCTTTGTGATGATTTACTCCACTGGGACCAGCTCTGGCCATCGTTTCTTGATCCTGGTGCCTCCGGTCCTATCTATTTCACATCCCAGCTTAGCTGACCTGTGAACCATGATACAGGGGAGAGTTGAGGGGCCTCCTCAACTATAATTTAACTGGAACATCTTGGAAAATAAACCTTGAGATTTTAAGAAAGCGAGAGATGAGAGTGGAGTAAGAGCAAGTCATTCTGATGATGTTAGGCGGGAGTGGCACTCTCTTGATGCCTCAGATCACGCTTCATGAGGGCTCCCAGCATATGCGTGAGATAGGAGTGCCTGGCACACACAGGTGAAATGTCTTCATTGGAGGGGTGAGGAATGTGGATCTGGGGAGGTGATACCATCTTCCTGAGCTCATATATGGGTAAGGGCCTAACCAAGACTAGGTCCTATGCATTTTGGCTCTTGGTCCTAGGCTCTACCCATTGAATTGTACTTAGGTGAGTGTGGTTCCCAAACCTCAGCTGGCATAAAAATAATCTAGAGAGTCTACAAAGGGAATTCTGGGCCCCCTTCTAATCTACTGGATTTGGATTGGAGTGCAACAATATGCATGTTAAGTAGGTTCTTAGGTGATGCTAATGGTTCTGGTAAGAGGCTACCCCTGGGAAAAAATCTGGTGTCAGTGGCCATCTCTCCCACTGATGAGTCCACATGTGCACTGGGTCCTAGGGAGATGATCAGACACCTGCACACTAGATTTATGGCTCAGTCACTGTGTGTAGGTCTATGGTGTCAGGAAGGACTAATCTAGATTTAGCAAAGTGATGTAAGTGGCCTCTGTGTCGCAGCCTGAGTGTCTTGCTGGGGCAAGGGAAGAGAAGTATGTCTTTTGGAATTCGGAGAGGGGAAAATGTATTTTCAGAAGGCTGCCATCTTCGGGAACCTCATAGATCAACTCCTCCACATGAACTTAGAGACCCATGAGATTCCTATGTTTTGGCATGAAAGGAATTTAAGTCTATGCAGCAGGTACTTAGATCTTTTCCCAAATGGTTCTTCTGAGTCCGTGCTTTTGCTTCAGCAGAAACAGAACCTGAGAAACAAGAAGGGTTCTGCCTTCCAGAGAGCCTTCAAAGCTTCCTCCCACCTGAGAATGGCTGGTGACTGAACCATGCTCTCGGGGCTTGCAGAGTGGGACATAGTCAGGAATAAGAGGAAATAGGCAAGGAAGTGGGAACAGAAAGGAGGGAGATGGGAGAACTGGAGAGGGAAATAGTAAAAGGAAAATGAAGAGAGAGGGAAAAAGAAAAATCAACTAAGAGTAACAAATTTAAGAAGTGTAGCATAGAGGGGGATGGTGCACTTGGCAATTTGGAGTCCATTGTTTTGACTTGTAGTGCTAGTATTTTGTATTGGTTCCCTAAGTTTTCAGGATCTCGATTTCTTCACTTGTAAAATGCAACTGGTAAAGCACTTGTTCTTTTGTGGACTGGTGTGAGGATGAAGCAAGATAACTTGTGTAAAAGCCATTAGCAAGCTGTGACATGTGTTATCACAGGTCACATGGAAAGTATGTGTGTGTGTGTTATGGCCCAAGCGACTCCAAGGACTTTCTGTACAGAAGAGCTTGCTATACACAGACAACTCCATGTCTCATGGCCCTGCTCTTCTGGATGCTGTGCCCTTCCCTCCTCACCCAGCAGGCCTGGCCTGCCCTTCCAGGACCCCAGCATGGGGGGAGGTGTCCTGTGACCAGGAATACCAGTCTTCATCCACACCAAGACAAATGATTCTCCTGGTTGCATGTGCTCAGCTTTGCAGCTGGACGTATATGGGAATGACTCAAAAAGTACTATGCCTCCAAGCTGCATCCCTCATTGGGCTTCTTTCTTTGCCTCTTTGAAAGTCTATTAAGTTCTCCCCACCTTTCACTGCCTATACCTCACTAATCAGAGCAATCTAAAACAGCTTCAATCTTGCCTTTTTCTTCTTGATTTCAACTTTAATTTTTAATTACCTACTCTGATGTGTCATATTAAATGGATTTGCTATGCCAGAGACTTTCCAAACAAATGAGGCTCCAAATTAGCTTTTATGCAATTAGACAGGAATTCAATTATTTCAAACATTCATACTAAGACTAAGGGAAAAATAAGCTTTAGGTACCAGTAGTTTAAAAGTTTGTTGATAGTTTTTTTTGCATTAAAATAACACCTTAAAAAGATTTTATTTGAATTATGTTAAAATAGCTATAGTGTAATGACTTCCCATTAAGAAGGGCTGGATGACTCCTACCTGAAATGCTGTCTACCCGTTCTTGGTGTTTATCATCAATCTCATGCTAGTAGGATCACAGATCACGATCACAGCTGCTGATTCCATATCCCTTCTTATTAAAAGATAGAGTAAAATAAAAGAAAAAGAGTCCACGATGTACTCACCAAAACCCTTTCAGTACACAATTTCTTTTCAGTTCTCTTTTATTGAGAACCTCTAGAGATTTTTATATCTTTCCAAAAGGTAAGAGTAATTACAGTCTCATTTTGTAATTTTTAAAGTGGCATTTTATTCATTATTCATCTACTTTTGAATTCTAACCAATATCTGCAACGATGCCATATTTCTATGCAAATAACATGATTTACATTCATTGGCCGTCTGAATTCAGTGCTCCTGATGATTTCCATAGTTTCCGTCTTTATTATAATTACAAACACATTTTTCCTGCACTATCGTTGTATGTTACATGCTGTCAAAGATCCAGGATGTTCAGAGCAGAGTGTTGATTAGTTTTGAGGCCTGACCCAAGGCACTTAATTTTGATGTATTTACAGGGGTGGGGAGGGGGCATTTCCCCTTTGATTTCAATTAAAGATGTCAAGGCTCGGGCCTTTAGTTAAAAAAACTGAATAACTCTGCCAATCAGCCATGCAAATGGCGTCCTGAAGTCTGCCAGCCCACCAGGGTTCGCGGCAGCCCGTGGCCTTTGTGTTGAGGCGATCTGCTTCCTCCACCTCCTCCTCCTCTGCAGCGGGTCTCTCCCCACACCAGCACCAGCGTCTACAGAAGCAGACACTTTGTGTTGTCCATGTTCTTATCCATAACAGCATCATGTGTCTTCTGAAATTCCTGCTCCCCTTCATTTGTTCATATTCATATTCATTCATTCAGTATTTACCAGGCACTGGGGATAGAGACATGAGCAAAACAGGAGGTAATCCCTGTCCTTACAAGGTGACATTCTAGGGAGGAGCCCATGTGCACACACGCGCGCACACACACACACATTCTCTCTAGAGTAGATGTGCAAGGCAGGCACTGTATCTCTACTTACTAAAGCCTCCTCATTCCTCAGCCCTGTTTCACCTACTCTATTGCATCTTTGTTGGTTGATTCTCTGTCCCAATTCTGGAGGGAGTTAGTCATGTGCTCTGTGTTCTTTCAGCTCCACTTTTGTTTCTGACTGCTGCAGTTTTGCTGTCTGCCTTCTATTAAAATGCTCTACATTTAGCAGTTTATACTATAGCATGTCAGCGATTATTTCATTTAATGCTCATAGAAATCCTGGAAAATGGGAGCTATCATCTCCATTTTGCAGATGAGGAAACGGAGTGAATAAGTGACTTTGCAAATTTGGAAATTTTGGAAACAAGATTTCTCTTTGCCATCCCACTTCCCTTCATAAATTTGATGAACACAGGCTATAAGCCAGCCACAGTGCTAGCTCATGGGCAGCTGTGTGTGTCAAGGGAGAGTGTAATGATTAATAAAAT